GTGGCCGCCACAGGGGTGAACAAGCATCATCTGCTCCCTGCCAGCCCGCCTGTGAAAACCCCATGGATTGCTTTGTTTAAAAGGTCACTGGAAAGGCAACACCCACAGAGGAACAAGTACAAGTTGTATTGCACGTGCTGTCCAAAGCACTGGCGAGAGCCGCCGGCCGGCCGTGGGGAACACCAGCTGAGGTGGGGTGGCCACCGGCCGCCCGGCCCCGGCACAACCAGCACCGGCACTGGGAAGTGGCCGCGGGCAGGGTGGCACTCAGAAAGAAATATGCAGATCCGTAAGGTGTGTACCCAGAGCAAGGCCAACAACCTACCTACTGAAAACCATCTGGTCAGGGAAATGCTCGGGCAGGTGCATCGCAGCTCACCCACCCCGATGCCAACCATTACGCAGCCCGACAGAGCACGGTCCCAGCCACTCCGGGGACACACAGGCGGTAGCCCAGGGGAATGGCATTACGTGCAGGTTTTACTGCCTTTATGAACGACTAAGAGACCAAAACCCCCAAATTCTGAATACCTCCTGTGCCCATAAAAGCCAATTGGTATTAGAAGCACTTCGCTTCTGGCCCAGAGCAATGACCTACATTATCCTAAATTACAAAGCCTTTGTCATCAGCCAACTGAGATACTCCTCCTCCTAAGGCTCATTTTGTTAGACACTGGCTGTCATCCCTGTTTACAGAACTCATTTAATGCACAGAGACTACACATAAGTTTAGTTAGAGAAAAAGAGCATTAACAGTAAAACACAGTATCCATCACACTGGGAATGTATTTCTGCCAGACACTAGAACACCATTCTGGGGCTAATTTTGCTGTAACAAAGCAATAAAATACTCCTAACTCCCCAGAGAGAAAATCAGAACTATTTGCAAATGCAGTGTTAGGGATTTCTCAGACCTCTCACGAACACCTGTACCACAGCTTTTCAGTCAGCATTGAGAACTTCGGCGTCTCCTTATCAGACAATAGGGAAAGGAGGCAATGTTGTCATAACAGATTAGGCTCAAGGTTTTCAGCTAGGTAGTGCTGAATCATCTTTACAGGAGAAAAAACAAATTCCCCCCCCTCCGTAACAAGCAACAGCTTCTCTGGGTGTTATTTAAAAAGCTCCAAGCCTGCACCCCGTGTTGCATGTATACCAGTTTCCCAAAATGCAACGCTGACAACAAGCCCATTTCTGTGCCAATGAAAGTAACCGGGGAAGACCCAGCCGAGGCTGCCACCTCTAGGCTGTACGGCAAACCAGGAGCTTGAGCATGGTCCCCTCGCTCCTGTGTCTGCGTCAGCACCACAACACTGGGATTATACTGCATCCTGCAACACCGTGCAAGGTAGTATGGACAGAGCTTGAAGAGCTATGCACATTTTATGGTGATAGTAGATAAAAATACTTGAGTAGAAAATGAAATTTCCTTGTTTGTACTTGTATGTGTGTGTGGCTGTTAGCACGGGGTTTGATACATAAGCAAACCCTAACCACGTACAGGTTTTATGCTGCCAGCTCCAGCAGGAGGCAGAGGGATAACCCCGGCCCCAAGCCCCGCCAGCACTGCTTCATCCTCCTACCCCAGTTCGTAAGACGGACACAACTTGTCAGGCCATAATAAAACAAACTGATAACTAAGCCAGTCTGTGCACAGAGAACTTAAAAAATGGTGGAATACGCTTTAGGAGAGCCTGGGAAGGAAGTGGACTTCACATTGTCCCCATGGCAATGAGGCACACAAGTAACTCACTGAAAGCCACAGAGCAACACCGCAGCGGAGCACGGGCTACCTGCACCCGCTGCAGAGCCCAACGGGGGACGCCGGCTTGCAGGTGCCTTTGCAAGGTTATTTAAGTGTAATCTGTTGCAGCAGCAAGAGATGTTTTGGACACAAATGCTGGGAGGCAGCAACGCGTCACCTACGCAGCACCGCTGGGGACATCAATGGGCTTTGAGCGTTGCAGTCACAGGTTTCAACCCAGAACCTGTGGAACCCTAGTGCGTGACACTGCTCCGGAGGGGCCCGCAGCAGACAGCCCAGACAAGCTGACCGAACACCAACGGGATGTGTATCTGGAAAGAAACAGAGGGGGTGCACAAACTGAAATCTGCCGAAACCCACAGCAGTGCAGCAATGGCCCTTGTCCTTGCCGAGGAAGGCACACCCAGCCCAGCGTATTCTCGCTCCACACATACTTCGGAAGGGACAATCCAATTTAATTGTCCATAGGAAGCAAGCGATGTGTACAGAAAAATCTTCCTGCTCTCTTAATCCACCTGTTTCCAAGCTAACCTTTTGAATGGCAGTTTCAAACTTCAGGAGAAGCACACTCCAGTGGCGTCACTCACCCTTACTTCTGAACACCACAAATGCACGCGGTTTTCTGAGTATCACAGTGTTCCCCTGGGCTGGCTTAATGAAAGGCGACTGCATGCACCTATCATTTACAAGATACTTGACTCTTGCTGGACATGGCTTACAAGTCTAATTTTCATTTACAAGTTGCATACAGAAGAGAAAGAGGAAAACTGCTGTAAGTCAAAACACAGTACATGTGTGAGACAGAGAAGCATCTTGGGGATGTTTGCCTTAATCATGTCCAGACTTCCTGCGTGGGGCTAAAGGACAAGACATCAAGTTTCTAACTTCTCTATTAGTAGAGACAATAAAAAAACACCAAAAAAAGGCAAAAAAAAACCCCAGCCCAAGACAAAAAGCCCACTACACAAATCAGCCTTCTCCATTCTGCGAAAACAGACACAGACACCGCTCCAGCTAGCCTCTGGTCAAAGATAGCCTATCATTTGCGGTCAGCAGACTTGGGTGGAGAGTGTGGGCTGAAGTTTCTGCCTGTGCTTGGGTCCTTAAGCCAGAGCTGATCTCCTCCAGCACGAAATGGAAAGCAATGCCTCCGAAGGCGTTATCTTCCTGCTGCCCGAGCCTGGCTGACCTCCCGAGCAGTGAGCACAGCTCTCCCTCCCCACGGTGCCCAGGTGAGCCCCAGCACCTCCGGCTGCGACCGGGCGCCTCTGCACAAGGAGCTCCAGATCACCCGCGTCCTGAGGGCCAGGCGGCGAAGCCAGGCCAGGCTCTGGCAGGACGGCTGCAGGGTGGCACCCACGCTCTGCCAATCCCCAATAATCCCGGGCTGGCAAGGAAACCATTCCTCGATATGCACTGCTTTGCAAAACAGGCCAAATCACGAGTGCTGGGCAAGGTGAAGGTGATCTCCAGCAAATCCTGGCCTCGACAGCGTCACCTGAAGCCCTGATGATGCCCAGATCTCCCAACGCTCAGCACGACTATCCCGGGGAGGGGGAGACAGAGTGGGCACATCACACTCTTTTGGCCATGGCAAAACCTGTTGCCTCCTCTTCCTCTTAGCTTAACTATTTTGGAAATAACCATTATTTTAGACAACTAATGACAAATTCTGATACCAAAAATATGCAGAGTTGCCTGTATACTGGGCGGAAAGCCAGCCTTTTATTTCATGTTTTCTGCTCTCGCTGTCCTCTT